GCTTTTTTTATATTAAACAAAGAATTTACAACACTATGATCTTAAAATAAAATTATTTAGGTATATAAAAAAAAGATGTATTTTTCTTGATTGATTAACATTTCAATGTTTCAATAACGACGATTCTAAAAAATAATATTCAATTTATTATTTAATTGATCCCTTTTTGATGACATATAAATATACATATATTTTTTCTAATGATAAACATTATTTTACAAAATTATATTTTAAAAATTTTAAAAATTTAAAAATCATAGTGAAATCATGAATTAAATTAATTATCATTATCATAATCTTCTAATGAAACTTGATGTGATTCATCTTGAGAAACTGGACTATAATTATATCTATTGGCAGATCTAGAACCAAAACCTGGTATAGAAAGTTTCGAGAAAAATCTTGAAACAGATCTTGGCACTCTGATCGAGTAAAAAATATCTTTGATTGTTGATAAAATTGATCCAGAACTGTGATATGTATCTCCAAGACGAATATGACTAATTATAACAAAAGGAGAGAACAAAAAAAAATCAATATAATTAATTAATCAATAATAATCCACAAAAAAAATAAAGACTATCCTTACCCTCTTGAACCTCCACCATTTTTGTATATTAAATATGCTGTCGTGATTCCTACAGAAATAAATATTACAATAATAAAGAATACCCAGAAACTTGTTGAGCCAACTATTCGTCCAGGACATGGTATTTTTTCACCCATATAATTCTCTTCGCCCCCTTTACATGAGCTCATTTTAACCTTTCTATACCTATATAATAATAATATGTGGTAAATAAACATCTAAAAAGCATTTTACTAAATAAAATATCTCCTATATAATAATAATATTTAAAATTACCCTATTGATTTATAATAATGATCACTACTAGAACACATATCATTTGGATCTTCAGCCAAAGGCTGGGCACCAGGAAATAATTCACATTTATCACTACCATTTTTATGGACATAATTGTAATCGCTTTAAATATAAATAAATAAATGGTTACAATTTAGAAATTAGTAATGTTAATTGGGTTCTGAAACAAAAGTTCTTTGACTTACCATTCAAAGTCATGCATGGTGCAAACACAATCCTTATCAATTGTTTTAGGTTGAATAAGTTCGTTGCCAATATAACAGTTCTTTTCAACTATTCTATGGTGATATCCACTCTACAAATAACAGATATTAAATTTTTATAATAAGAATGAAAACTTTTTAAATAAAATTTTTATTAGACATACCTCAGGACCAAACAAACATTTTTCTGATCCTCCTATGTGAGTAGGATACCATAAAACAAAATCATCATTCTCATCATCATTCATGTCCAATTTACCTTTTAATAAATAACATTAAAATTAAAATATATTTAATAAATATTTTAATAAAAAAAATTATTGATTGATTATGTGGAGGAAAAAAAATTCTTACATTTTCTTGAAAGCTTGCCTTCAAAATTAAGATGAATTATTACTTCTTTGTTATAGTTATTTTGAGGGCTACCTCTCAAGATAAACCTCCTACTAATTCCACCAGGTACTGTAGCAATATCACGTACTCTGACAAGTTCAGTTGAAAATTTAAATTCAGACCATGATTGGCCTTCATCAAATGAATACCTACAAAATCAACATCATTCATATTATTCATATATTCATTATTGAATAATAAGATTCCGAAAAAAGGAGGGAATCGAATTGAAAAAAAACTTACAATACATGATCTGTAGGTGACTTATCATCCATTATAACTATAATTGCACCTTGATCTCCAAATTCATACATATAAGCACCTTTTTTGACTTCTCTCCATGTGAATCCTGCATCATTTGTCAGGTAAGTGTTACCCTCCGAGTATGGGGTTAAATAATCTCCAACATTCCCTACACCCATCATTAATCCAACAGCTGTACTACTACTGAATGCATCACGAGGGTCTCTTCTTTCTGTATAACTGTGAAGATGCAAATTACAATCCTAATAATAACAACAATGTAAATTACAGTGTTAAAAAAATACCAGTCATCTAATACTAAATTCATCATTTGCAAAAAGAAATTGATACAATACATTGCATTCATATTTTCGACCATTTGCATCTTCTTTAGGAGGATTTAAAAAGCTCCATGTGTTTCCTAATATTATAAACATCACATTTATTAGAAAGGAGAAATAACCTGGACTACTGTTCATTCAAGACTCTTAAGTTTCATGCCAAACCGCCTAAAACAAATATATATATATATATATATATATTCCTTGATAACTTACCATCATTAAATGTTATTTTAGATTTTAATTTTTTATTATTGCCCATATTAACTTCATGAACATTACCAACAATGTTTGCCATTGAAATTCCAACAATTCCTCTCATTTTCTCAAAATCAACAAATCCACAAACATCATGATTAACATGTTCCAATGAAAGTGAATGGTAAGTTCTGTTATAATTAGATTTTAAAATGTTTCCCCATTGATTATTCATTAACGATGATGTGGTAACATGAAGTATGATTGAATGTGTGGTAGATTCTAAAACAGTAAATGCCTTTTGAATTTTTGATTTGGGTGAAAAAAAATTGTGGGTTAGTAAATGATTAAAATGCTGTCAAATAATGTAAAAAATTATTGATATTGATATTGGTATAATTATAATTATTATTACATTATTGTTATTTGCATATTTGGTGGGAATTTCACATTGGCAAAAGTAATACCATCAATAGAAATCTAAAGATGAATATTTTGTCCTGAAGGTAAATGCTATATATGATAAACAACAACAATAATATAAATAATTGATAAAATAAAAATCAGTAATAATTGATAATTAATGACTAAATATTAGTAATTTAAACTAACCTCTGCAACCACCATATATTCTTCAAAGGTGGCAAGACCAATAATGTTATCAAATAATTTATTATTATTATTTTCTAATCTGAAATAGTCTGTACTAGAGATAAGTCGAAGTGGATTGTTGATAAATGAGAATTGTGAACCTGATTTTTCAAGATATGATTCGCAAAATATCAATGTGTCCGATGTCTTAAATTTAGCATCTCTTGCCCATGTACAAACTTTCACATATTTGTTTAATTCTGTCCAAGATTGTCCATTCGTTGTTGTATAATAAGCAACTGCGTGACAATTGGGTGAAAGAATAGACTCACAGTCTACACTTCCTGTATAAATTAACCAGTCTGGTTTAACAGGATGGAAATCAAGAACAGGTATTTGAAGCAATTTAGGATTCATTTCAACACTAAGTTTAATGAAATTGGCTCCAGAATCAATAGTCATATAATGTTCTTTTGAATAAGTAATAAAATATGCCTAATATTAGAAAGGAGGAAAAAAAAAACAAAAAAGTGTTGTTATTATTTTTATCCTGAAATAAATTTTTTTATAGTTACTGAATGCTTAATTTCTACTACTTACACGTTATTTGAAATATGGATTTTGGAACATTGCAATGATGTTAACACCTTTTTCCATAAATGAGGGCATTTTCCATATAAATCCTTGGTCATAACTTATCCAAACTTCGTTATTTAGTGTACGAATAGTCTCACTATTGCCAAAATAGATATAACCCATGATAATTGATTCAAATGTCATCTAAATAATATAAGTTTATAATGAATCTATATTAAAAAAGTCAGGAATATATGCTTGTTATGATCATGAAAAAGTATTACAATATACATACCATTGAAGTGACTATTTCAGTATCTATATAACATTAACATATAAAAACAATATATTTAGATATAAACAAATTATCAACGTGTTCATCAAAAAAAAACCTAATTAACGATTATTATTATTATTGAACGGTCACACTTACTTTCTGTGCTTTCACATTTCTTTTTAATTTTCTTTGTCCAGTCAACTCCACCTACACATTGTGATTTCGAAATTTCAACATATCCACTATTTCCTTCATATTCACCTATACATTTAGATGGTCGCTCTTCATTGTGACCATACAATTTACAAATATCCACCTTCATGCCAATAATTGAAAGCGCTTTTATTTTTTCAATTTTTTAAAAAATATATATTTCAAATTAATTAATCATAAAAATAAAATTAAAAAATATATATATGCATTTATGTATGTAAATTTTTACCATTTGAAATCAGCTTTAGTACATTGACATTTTTCTTCACTCTTATGAACAAGACCTTCCAGATCACCAATTCTACATTTTTTATCAGGTTTACGCCTCCAATATTTTGTCTAGCGTATATTAATTTATGATGTAAAAATGCTACATATTTTTAAAATAGTGTAAGAAAAAAATACCTTCATTCATTTTTTTTTACTATATAGAAGCAAGAATTTCCCAGCATGGTTGAAAATCCATTTGATTGGCTGATAATCTTCAATATCGTGATTGGTTAAATTGTATTACATTTATTAATTTTAATTATTGTGATCAATAAAATGTTTATTTTTTTTTTTACAATAGATTTCAATACATTCATTATTATTAAGTTGATTTTTTTTTCCTTTTTTTACAAAAAAATGCATCTCCATCATTTTGATCTTTTTCTTTCCTTTTTACAAGAAAATACATTCATCTGCAATTGTTATTTTATCCAACAAATGTTGAATTGACTTTAACAGTTAATGGAAACATGGATATTGCTTTTTAGCAATGATTTTGTTAACATTTTGTTGAGTAAATGAATGAATGGCATTGATTAATTGACAAAAATAGGGAAATGGGAAAAAATATCAAAATAAAAAAAATTCATATTGTGCTTATATTATTTTCTTTGAAATGAATGGTTTATTTAAAAAACATCAGATTGTTTTTTGTTGATATTGAATGTTTAATTAGCCAATAAATGTAAAAATTAAAATACATGTATAAATGAAGCTTTAAAAAAAAAAAATTTAATACATGAATAAAATTAGATTCTTTTTCTAAAAAACTTAAATCCCCATTGCTTAAAAAGTAAATTTTCTCAAAAATGCCAAAGTCAAAGTTAACTGGTCCTTGCTTTATTCATAATTGTTATAAAAATTCTAACAATTTTAGATGTTTATCTGATAGAGCTATAGAAAAAGCAACTTATAAAGGAAATCTTCAAAGATATCCTTATTTACAACAAGGTCAACAAATTTGTTTTCCCCATTACATGGCTATTGTTAAAAATCCTCCATCTGTTAAAGAAAGAGAAGAAAGAGAAAAAGAAATTATTCAATATATCAACCTAATTGAAACAAATATCATACCAGCATTTTCAACATCCTTTGACATAAATTTATCATTTGGTGATAAAATAAAAAAAATGACTAGAGTATTATACAATAAGAGGCATGATAGTCCTATATTAGATCCTGATGAGTTTAATAAAATGCTTAAAGATAATGATTCAAATTTAAAAGGCTTTTTCAATGAAGTATGTAATATATTAATACCAGAAGACCATTCAGAATATAATAAAAAGGAAGATAAAAAGAAAGTTGTTACAATTTTGTATTTGATGGCTGGAATCCGGAATAAACATGCTAATAATTTTAAATTAGAACTTGCCTTATATCTTATAGGATCAGGAACATCTTGTGATGGAATTGATGCACCGGGTAATGCTGGAGTTTCAGTTACTTATAAAACTGTATATAATTATAAAAAGAAAATTGCAGAAGAACATCCATTAAGAGTAAAAAAATATTTTAATGAAAATAAAAATAATCTTTGTATATACAACCTGGATGATTATCACAATATTCATGAAAAAAGACATCCAAATCACACTACTCTATCAGAAGCAGTCAAAAAAAATTGAAGGATCCATGCCTGTGCTAATTATGCCCTATAAAAAATTGCACACGGAAAAGATGTGGAAAATATGTGTTTAATTTCAGATACAGAATCTTCCTGTCAAATGCGCCGAAATGTGCGGAATATGTGCGGAATATGCACATGATATGCACGTAATACATAAGGAACTTATAAAGAATTCGTGATGAATTTGTACGGAAATTTCGATAAAGGTACGTTTTTTTTTGGCTACGGAAAATGCACGGAAATAATACATATTTTATTTAATGGTGTATTTTATTTAATGGTAAAACGTATTTTATTTGATGGTAAAACATATTTTAGTTACTGAAATCATTAACACTTATAAAAGATTGCTCAAATCCCGTAACACTGCTTTTTTCCTTACTTGGGATAGATTCTATGATTTTGGTTTTGATCTACTATTTTTTAAATTTGTTGTTGCCTATATTTGTAAATAGTAATAGGGAAATAAGACGTTGTAGAAGAGTGATCATTATACATGAGCGAACGAACGAACTGATCGAACAGATCGAGTGAGCATTGAGCTGATAAAAAAATCAATTTTTACTAAACACAATTTTTTGGGAAGCATGAGATGAAAAAAATGAGACGTTTCTTTGATTTAGTTAAATTTTTTTTTTTTTACACTTTGAAACGTTATAATTAATGATTATTATTTTTATTTATTTTATTAATTTATATATTATTTATTACTAATTACTAATTATTTTCACTATTCGTTCACCTGATGTTAAAAAAATAGATTTTTCCTTCCTTACCTTTTTGGTATTATTTTTTTTTTATTTTTTTTTATCTACCACGTCCATCTATCGGAGAAGTTTCTTTTGTTCTGTTTGCTGCGGTTTAACCTTTGATCAACTAACTCCAGAAATAATCAATCACCGATAACTACTAAAAATAACGTACAATAATAAAATAATAATAATAATAAATAAATTGTTTGTTTATGTCGCAAACAAAGTAGTCTATATATATATATACAACAAACAAAAATTACGCTAGTACTAAAGTGTATGATTATTAAGTAAATACAGTCGTTGCGTAATAAAAGTCACATTTGGTCAATGAATGAATGTGCCGTTGCAAAGTTTTTGTTCTGTTCGCGAATTAGTCATTTTTTTCGATTGTGATTTTTGATTGTGACCCTTTAAGTGAGTTAGTTATTTTTTTGATTGATATATAAACTGTTTGTATTTATCGATCGAGCAAAATTCTTTTCAATTAAACAACTCTCTTTCCGATAAAATGATAAATAAAAAATAACACAATAATACTTTGGCTTATCTTTTCTTTAATAAATGGAAAGAAGCTGAGAACAACAACTTAGTGAAGGTAACGTGGGCAGAAAGTGTTGTTTTATGTAACATTTGTTTGATTTTTCATGCATTGTTCATTTTCCGTCTCGATCATGTATCTTAATTTCGTTGTGTTTAAGATCATTTCATTGACATTCGTTATGTTAAGGCTATTTTGATTATATCGAGAGAGAAGAGTTAGGAAGAGAGTTATTCTTCAACCAAGTCAAAAACCAATCCTTTAAATACATTTTCGAGTAGTACGATTTAATTTATTAGACTGTTTCGTGTGGTTACTTCCAACTTCTTAAATTCGTTAACAAAATAATTATTGGTGAAGTGATTGTCGACAAAATGATCAAATTCACGATTTTAATTGGTCAATCACCAAATTGCGTGGGTTAAAATTTTGTTCCCAGAACGGTCTTTCTGCTCTCTCTGCTCACTTGCACATCCTCGATTACAAAACTTGTTATCCATATTTATTTACATTTTTATTATTTTATTGTATTACATTGTTATTTTTATTCGTATAAAGTCGAAATTAGTTAGCTTGAAAAAGTAAAGGACAAGTTTGGATGGGTCCTTGCTTGAAACAGCAGGGAAAAACAAATACTGCGTTAGCATTATCAGGAAATTTAATATTGAATTAAGCTTGCCTGCCGAAACTTGTTTAGCCTAATGCCGAAAGGTAAAACTTCTTACATAGTGCTGAAATGATGAAACTGCAAAACTATAGTTCTGACATGATTTAACTATAGTTCAGCTAGGGTTTATATTTGAATGAAGTTTATTTGAAATATTTGAAATATTTGTTATGATTATGAGTATTCAAATTACGTTGAAAGTAATTCGAATAAAGCGAATACTTACCTTTAGAATAGTAGATTATTTAATCGACTATTTATTTGAATATTAATTAGTTGATCAAAAAAAATTTAGTCGATTATACTGGTAGTTAATTAAAACAGTCGGCTTTCCACTTCTAAGTTAAAATATGGCCAGCAGTTATACCAAAAGTCGGCTATATGCAGTTTTGGCATTTCGGCATTTCAGAACGATTTGCCAAAACTATTTCGGCAGTTTCACATATGCCATTTTGACGAAACTCCCTTGTTTTGGCAAGCAATCTTATACTGAATACTCAGTTGAACACAACCGGAAGGGATAATACTCAATGGCAGGTAGTAAAAACCAATTAAACAATGCATTATTTCAAAAAATAAAATTTTTTCATATTACTTATAAAGTATCAATATTAATATATTTACAAAAATTTATAAAAAATAGAATCTGCATTAAAAAAGGTTGTTGAAATTTATTGCGTCTATTTAATACAGGTAATTTGCAAAAATAAGAAATATCGCCTTATCTCTGATTGGTGATTTAGCACTTTTATTTCCAAAAGCTCATTTTCAAAACATATTACCAGCTCTTAATTACTTGATACCAGCGTCGAGTGATTCTGACCGCTGCTAATTCTTTTAAAGAAATTTATGACACATGCTGTAATTCTTTGATAATTTAATTAAATATGTAGTCATATACAAGTATGTAAGAAGTTATTATTATTATAATTATAATTATGTATATATATATTTATATGATACAAGTTTATTTATATATTTATTTTTAGCCTAGAGATAAACAAAAAATTATCAAGTCAAATAGCGGATGTTATTCAAATATTACCACCTGAGAAAATGATCCAACCAATATTGGCAAGCTTATATATATTGTTTGTATATATCAATTATCATCAATTATTAATTATTAGATAAGCATTATTAAAACAACAAAAGAAATTATATTACATGTCAAACAAGTATGTAAATTTTTATTTATGAATTTAATAATTACTTTTTTAATTTATAATGACCATTTTACTACAAATATAACAAAAAATCAAAAACAAATAAAATCCATAAAAGAATCCATTACAATTTATAACATTATTATAACCCAATTAGAATATTTGACAGCATGTGGTCATGGAATTCAACCTTTTGATGATCACAAAATTATTATAATTGATTATAATGATTCAAAAACCACAAATAGAACTACAACTTCCTCTGACGTGATAAAATCTAGTGATGAGGTTTTAGTTTCATTCCAGGCCAAAGGACTTACTGATTCATTTTTCAGAGATTGTGCAAAATGTCGCAGAAGTTTGGTATAATGATAACGAAGTTATATATTTATTAAAAAATACATTTACTTTTTTTTTTAATAAAATTACATTAATACTATATATATTCTTCTCTTTCTTTATTAAAAGTGTCTTTGTAAATTTCTTAGTACCGGAATATATACAACTTTAAATTTATTTTTAATATCTATCAAAGTAATTGTCCATTAATTCAATTATCATATCAAAGGTATCCACATTGTTATTGGTTGGATACAACAGTTCGAACTGTAACAGTTTATGGAGTTTTGTTTGAGTGTGAGTTAACATTAAGCAAATTGTTATTATCTATTACAACCACAACTTTTCAATTGTTAAAAACAAAGCTGGTAAATTATAGTGCTATTAATGACAATGTAATTGCTTTATTTATTTAAATATTTTATTAAAATTTATATTTTAGATATGGAAAATTACCCAGATATGTTACATTCATTCTTTGAGCTTTTGACAAAGGTGATATAAAAAAATTTTTTTTTTGTTATAAATTTTTTTGCGCATTATTATTCACAAATAATAATAAACTCTTTTATTTAATATCTTACAAAATGCCCTATTGCATTATATGCATTACTGGCATTTTAAAATTCTCTTGATTTAGGATTACAAGAAAGACTTGTTTTAAGATCTGCAGTTGCTTTTATGGTAATATTTAAAAAAGTATTATAAAAAATTATTTATAAATATTAGGGAGAATTTATAGGACAAAATTACAAAGATGATAAAATTACAAATATGGTAGAAAATATAATTAGAACTTATGGATTAGAAATTATGAGATAATTGCTATTTGTAAGATCAATTATAATTTTTTCTAATTAATATAGTTTTTAAAATAATTTTTAATATTAACTTTTTATTTTTTAATTGTTTAGGAGTTGGTGGGAATTTGCCAAGATCATTAATTCCACAATTATCACCTGATTATTTAAATTACAGGTCGTTTATATTGAAAATAGTAGGGAATGGTCGACACAAGTAATTTTCTTATTCATATAATAATTAATTGATTGACGATTTATTTATTATTTTTTGTCTTTATTTGTTTGTAAAGAGGAAACTTTCCATTTAAAATGTTAATCAAGTTATTAAACAAATTTTGCTAAAGCAATTCTAGGGTATGTGTGTTTTATCTTCATTATCATTTGATTATAGGAAAAAAATAAATTCATAATTTTTCTTCCTTCTCCAAATAAAATCAAAGTACAAGATCATCTCAAAAGTTTAAAGGAATAGTAACTGAATTTTCTATAAAATGTAGAGGTTTGGAGGATTCTGTTTATTGTAGTCTGATTAAAATATTAATTAGTTTGTGCTTATTTTCCTTTCTTTCAAAGCCTTTACCAATAATTCGTTCATATTGATCAATTCATTTTTTTTTTAAATAATAATATTTATTATTATTATAATTTCCATATTTCTAGATATCTACAACAATAAAATAATAAGTCAAAAAAAAAAAGAAAGAAATTTACAAATAAATAATATTAAATTAAAAAAAAGTTCTTGATAATGATGGTGATGATGTTTTTTGTTTGTTGATGATTAATTCAATTCATTTATTTATTTTATTCATAAGTCCAGTTATTTAGTTTTTTTTTTTTTTCATTACTAAATAACTTATCAATCTATACATCCACTCACATACATTAATCCACCAATCCACAAATATATCCATCATAAATTTTCTCCCCTTTCATATTTATCAAATTCTTCTTTAGTACAAAGTTTTTCAAATTGTCTTGTTGCTGAACCAACAATATGTTCAGCTTTAGTTAATTCCCACATAGATTTCACAAGTTCACGTTCTGATTTAAGAACATCCGCGTTTAAATCTAATTCAGCATCTCTCAAACGTTGACCTTCCATCGAATGACTTACCCACTTTTTCCCACACACACACATTAAAAAAAATCAATGTAGAGTAGAATCAGTAAAAAACAATAAAAAAAATAAATTTAAACCAAATATAATAATAATAATACCTTTTTTTCATCGTCACAATATTGAGGTAACAACTTAAATCTAATCCCAGTTGAAGAAAATGGATGAAGTTTATTTAATGTTTCAATATATTCAACAGATCCAGGCTGTAATAATTCCAAGCGCATTTTTTTATTTGGTGTATGCGGGGTAGTGGATGCAGAAGAATATAATGGTATTGATGACGATGGTGATGTTAATATTAATGATGATGGCGTTGGTGATGATGAATTATAATGTTGTTGATATTTTGCTGTATTATAAGAAGAAGAACCATAACCGTTTGGTGGGGAAGAATAATGATAATGATCTTTTATATAATCATGATGATGTGGATAAGGATGTTTTAGTGGACTTTGATTGTTGTTGTTGTTGTTGTTGTTATTGTTATTGTTATTGTGATTATAATAATGCTGATAATTTGAATCATCATGGAGATAAGAAGAACGATGATTATTATTATTTTGATTATTATTATAGGAAGAAGAACTATTGCTTCGTGAAGAAGTAGACGATGGAGGATAGTGAGAGTTGCTATTGATATTATTGCTATTATTATTTGAAGGATAGTTACGATGCTGTTGTTGATCCCATTCTGAATAATAAGGATTTGATCTATACGATGAAGAAGCAGAATGGTGGTGGTGGTATGAGTGCCTACTTGTTGAAGAAGACTTGTAACGTGAAGAATCTTTAATACTTCTACTCATAATTTTTTTTATATATATATTGGTAGATTTATTTTTATTTCCGATATTTATGCCATTTTCTTTAAAAAAAAATAAAAAAAATTTTAACCAGTTATGGTGCAAATCATCTAATCACGTGCTGCGCCATTTACCTGATTTGCTAATAAAGAAATTGTCAATAATAATACGTAATAATAAGCATTCTCTGCTGTAAATTCAAATTTGGCAAAAGATCAGTGGATAACATCAGTAATAACAAGCATTAAAAAATCACGGTTTAGGTATAATAATAATAATAATAATAGTAATAGTAATAGTAATAGTAATAGTAATAGTAATAGTAATAGTAATAGTAATAGTAATAGTAATAGTAATA